TGTCTACTGTTAATGTTCAGCCTGAGCATGGCTGCACTGAGTTCATTTAAAGGACAGTTCATAGCTCCTGTCAGCTGACAACAAAACTTTGAGCTTCACCAAAATTGAGAAGACTGGAAATGATCAGTATGCAGATGGTAACACATCAGACCCACTACTAGGTGTACTAGTACTGTGTGAAAAGCATTTTTAAGATTAATTTGAAGATGTTTATACAACAGCATAGATGAACCGTACTGCATCGTTTTCTCCACCTGTAGCCTCACTCTAAACTATCACAAGACTTTCTCTTTTTAAATCCTGAAACGATCATCCTGAGCACCTAAGTAAACAAAAACATCCTGCTAAAGGTCTTCAGGGATCTGTAGAGTTGCACGTTCAGACTGTAATTAGTTTGTGGTGATTTGAGTAAATGATCTTCCTCTGGCACGCACCTCACCCCCTCTCGCCCTCCTCGTACATCCTGTCCACACAGACCGCTCTGCCACTTCCTCACACAGCTCCACAGTTCTTCTCTCGGATCCTGACATCTGTAGCGTTTCTCTGGATGAAGCCTGACTGCTGCTCACAGATCGTCACCTCTCGTCTTGACCCCCCATCATTAATTCTCTCCCACAGCTTCACGGTTATGGTTTGCTAGCTGCACATCACCCTTGTTCTTGAAAATCAGCACCAGTACAGTTCTTCTCTGTTCTGCAGGCCTCCTCTCGCCCCCCGAAACTGTGGGTAGAAAACTCCACTCTGTCTGTCCCAGACATCCCCGTACCTGCACAGGTGTGTCACCTCAACCAACCACATTTTCACTGTCAATGCTCTTCACAGCTGCCCTCACCTCCTCCTTACTAATCCTCTGCACATCCTGATTCACTAATTGTCCTCCATCCGTGCTCCACTTCTCATTTTCCACCTTCATCCGTCCTCGGAGTGCTCCTTCCATCTTCTCCACACACGTTTCACTTGTTAGCACACTTCCGTCTCTATCCACCTTCACCTGCTGCACGTCCTGCCCAGCTCGCTCTGTCTGCCTATCAATGTGTTTGTGAACGAGATCCCTCCTCCAAAACTGTGCCATGTAGTGTTTGTGTTGTTCAGCATGGTGATGATCTGCTGATTGCCTCCAACATGTTATTTGTTATCTTATTTGGAGTCGAGGCTCTTA